GGCTTTCTAAATGGCTCATTGTCTTTCCTAGCCCTCCATCATTTCGAGTCCAGGATGACAGCTCATTCCATTGTTCAACAAATGAATGTTGTGTGTCAGGGACATTTCCAGGGAGCAAAACCAGTCAAGGTCCTCGTTCCTCACAGAGTGAAGGTCTAGACAACACAGTAACGATGTAATCAAGAACTGAAGTTTTCAGTGGTGGCAAGTACTATAAAGTGGGTACAGTTAGCGTGTCAGAGAGGGGAGGGGAAGGGGTGGCCATAAAGGGCTCTTGCGCAGATTGCTATTGGGTTCAAAGCCGGATGTTGAAGAAAGACCCATGCTGTCTGGGAGCAAGGCATTGCAGCAGAGAAATAATGAGGTGTAACCACCAAGGGGAGCAGAAACACGGGTGCAGAACATATCTGAAAGAAATGGAGGCAGGAGAAGGGAGGAAAGGAGGGAGGAGGAGGAAGCCAGGAAGGGAGAAGGGCCAGTCCTGTGGCTCACATACATATGGAGAACAACCAAGGGGCAGAAAGGAGATCCCTCCAGAGACGGAAGCTGCCTGGGAGTGTGACGTCAAGGAAGCCCAGAGCAAGAGGGTTCTGGGGAGCAGAGCGAGGTCACCACACCTGCTGCTGCTGCAAGTCTGTGAGACAGAAGGCACTGCTCACCGAGCCGCAAGGCAGAAGTCACCGGAGACACTCTCAAGGTGGGGCTGAGGACGTGTGAGCGGAGACGGGAGAACCAGCAAAGACTTCAGTAGGATGTGTAACTGTGCAGCTCCCCGGAATCAAAGTAATCTATTATTTTCCGTGTGTGTGTGTGTGTGTGTGTGTGTGTGTGTGCACATGCATGTGCATGTGTGTACATGTGTGTGTATACGTACATGTGTGTGCACATGCATGTGCATGTGTGTACATGTGTGTATACGTACATGTGTGTGTGCACATGCATGTGCATGTGTGTACGTGTGTGTGTATACGTACATGTGTGTGTGTGTGTGTGTGTGTGTGGAGAGATGATATGCATAGACCAGAGGTCGATACTGCATGTACTCCTCAAAGCTCTCTCTACCTTAATTTTGGAGACAACTCAATCACTGAACGTGAAGCATACAATTCAGTGAGACTGACTGGCCCTCGAGCCCCCAGGCTCCATGTGCTCGGATTATAATTGTGAGCTGACCTGCCAGCTCTCTGACCTGGGTCCTGACTGTACCATAAGTGCTTCATTAGCTGAGCGAGTCCTCCTGCCCAGTGCATGTCACTTTAAAGTTTAGCCCCTCACGGGAGTTTCCACCACGTGGCTTTTGTCATCACTGTATTTTTTGAATCTTCTCTCGTGCCCCCCCTTCCACACCTCCATAAGCACTTGCAATAACTGCAACACAGCCACCTCCTGCCCACACCTCGCTCTCTCCGGGTCTCTCTGCTGTTTCTTAGGTGAAGTACAAACTGCTCCACATCTTCCCCGCCCTCCAAGAATCCAATTCTCCTTGTCACATGACCCCTGCCTCCTAGGGGTCCTCACTGCCGTCCACACCTCCAGGTGATAATCACCCATCCACACTGCAGTCCGGATCCACTAAAGCATCCCAGACATGACAAACACCAACATACAAGTCTCAGAGTCTCAGGTCCTATCTAGGAGGCTTGTGATGGCTCATTTTAGCTGTCAACTTGTTTGGATTTGGAGCACTACGGGAACAAATCTCTGGGCACGTCTGTAAGGGATTATAGACTTTAACTGTGGTGAGGACACTCACCCACACACGGGCACTGATATCATGGCTACAACTGTGAACTATGGGGAAACTCAGATGAGCACAGGTGTTCACCACTCTGCTTCCTAATTGGAGGCCAGGCTCATGCCCGCCCCCCGCCAGGTCCTTTCCAGAAGGGACTAGAAACTGACATAACCCTCCTTCCCTTGGTTTCTCTCATCGGGCTTTTAGTCTCAGCAACAACACACACAAGGAAGTGTTCCTGTCAGCAGCATGGTAACTGCCGTGGGAGCTCACTCAAAGGATTGCCGAGGCTCGAAAGTGAAAACCTCACTGACAGTTAATCCTGTCAACAGGAACTGGAATCAGCTAAGAGTCATACCTCTTTAGGTGTCTGTAGGGCTTCCCCAGAAAGGCTGAGCTGAGGGTGGAGGACCCTGTCTGGGTTGGTGGCACTTTCCAAAAGTGGCCTGGGTAGAGGGGTTTAGGGAAGAGGCAGTACCCGCCTACTGTCAGTCCTTGCCACCTGAGTGCATGCTGCCCCTGCCTCTGTCACTGTGGCCGCCTCCACCTGCTCTCAGACTCCAGACTCTTCTGCCTCCCAAGGTGGGCAGCACAATTACTCACTTTTACATCCTCCACTTCCCTTACAGGATGACTTTACAAAGGACTTGCTGAAAGGCATGCTGAAAGGTAGGCTTTTATTTAACTATGCTTCAAATCAGAATGGCCTGTAGCCTCCTTCCAGACAGTTTTACAGTATTTAGGGCTTGTTTTACCAGGGACATTGTGACCTTTTCCTATTGTACCCTCTGGCTTATGCAGGGATGAACTCTGCCTTTCGGTATTTGAGTTCGTTTTACAGGGACAGGAAGCACAGCCGTTATTACAAGAAGATGCAAGCCTGAGCTCTGCATAAACCAGGGGGCAGCTCTGGGAGGGGTTAACTGAGTTCTTTTAGTAACAGAACTAGGAATCCCTCAGACTTTGGTAAGTGTCAGTGTGCTAATCTCCTGGGCGTGAGCTAGGTGAGCGTGTTCATCTCCTGGACCTCAGCTAGGCGAGTGTGTTCATCTCCTGGACCTCAGCTAGGCGAGTGTGTTCATCTCCTGGACCTCAGCGAGGCGAGTGTGTTCATCTCCTGGACCTCAGCTAGGTGAGTGTGTTCATCTCCTGGACCTCACCTCAGCGAGTTGAATGTGTTCATCTCCTGGACCTCAACTAGGTGAGTGTGCTAATCTCCTTGGCCTGAAGCCCTTTGTGGTGTCTGGAGCATCCCCAACTCCAGACTACAATTATTTCCTCAGTGATTATCATGGGTATTTAGAGTTTACTGGAAGTGTGTGTGTGTGTGTGTGTGTGTGTGTGTGTGTGTGTAAACCTCCACATAGACACCTTGTGTGAGTCAATTCTCTCCTCCCACCAACCCCTCTTCTTATCAGCTCTCGGAATGGAGCTCAGGACATTAGGCTGTGTGGCAAATGTCCCTACCCACTGTCCCATCTCTCGAGGTCCCTAGTCATGTCTGATAACCACAGGAATCTTCCTATGAAATGCACCACTACACATTTTTGGCACTGTGAGAATATTGCTGGTATACTTATGCAAACCTAGATGGTACACACTGCTACATGACACCCAGCGGCTGTGGAACGTATGGATGTATGGCCTCACCTACTGTTCCTTCGCCACAGACCTATACAGCATGTTCCTGAGGTGAATACTGTGGGATTCTGTGATCCGACACAACTCTTCGGGGCAAGCAAGTGATGCGTTAAAGATGAGGACATTGCAGTCTCTGTGGTGCTACCAGGTATGAACGTTGCAGTGATGCATTGCCGTTGAGCACACAATCCATTACGCTCTTCTGTGCTTATTGCCACACACTTTGTTCATTATTGACCAGCATGTCCTCATGGCGGTCACATGATGGAAGATGAAGGTGCGGAGATCTCAATTTATCTCCGTAAAACCAACCAGGCCTACCTCAGCTGCCTTCCCTATGGCTAGGAGAGGCACATTTCAAATTCACATTCCCTCTGCCTAAATGTGACAGTTGGTTAACCGTAATTATTATTCCCTTTGAAGCTCAAAGACATTTAGTGATCCCTTGGGGGTACCAGGCTACATTCAGTCTTCACCAGTTGGCTACTCTGAAATGTGAAGCCCACGCTGATCAAGGCTATCTGCACTCTGGGCAACAGAGTGCACTCACGGTATTACCACAGAGAGAATGACACAAGGGAGGCTCCTCACTCGGCCTAAGAAAGTGGACCTGCAATGAGGAACCTGAACAAATGCCCTGACATTTTGCTGAATTAGAATAAGCTGCTTAAAGTGGGGAAATTTGAGGGAAATCACAGGAAAGGCTGGCACACGTTCCAATGACTGGCAAGTGTAAACGAGTGTGCTGACTGTTCATTCACGCCACGGGTTGTTATGACATGCGACTGCCAAAAATCAAAGTCAGAGCCAGGCAGAAGCAAATACAGCAGCCCACCCTGTCCTGTAGCTGTCCCCAGCAGCCTGCCCTGTTCTGTAGCTGTCCCCAGCAGCCCACCCTGTCCTGTAGCTGTCCCCAGCAGCCTGCCCTGTCCTGTAGCTGT